TAATTAATTAATTAATAAAGTTCACTAAATCTGAAAAATGAATTAGCTATTTTTGCAGTAAGTGCCATAAATATCACTTAAATAATATTTAAATATAAAAGTTTAAAAATCGTAATATACTTTGATATGGAAAAATAATTTTACTTACTATAAGTAATTTCAAATACATTTCCTTCTGTTATAAAGTAATATAGTCTATTAAAACTAACAATGAAAATATTTTAAAGTTGTAATTAAAATTGTAGTTAAATAAAATGAATTCTAACCTAAACTTCTTTTTTACTTAGTACTACACGCACTAAAAAAGAATCCAATAAAACACCTATAGTAAAATAAAATTAATATGAAATGCCAGATGTAAGCTTTTGAATGACCCATGTCCTTTGTACTTACATGAGAAACAATATATTACTAGGTTTATATATATATATAAAATAAATGTTTACTAAATCAGTGAAATTAAGTAACTATTTTTGCCGTCATTGTCATAAATTTTACTTAAATAATATAAAAAAAAATGTAACCTAATATACATACTTATACTTGATGTAAAAATAATCCTACTTACTATAAGGATTCTAATACATTTAACTGTTCTAAAAAAAAATATAGTATAATAAAATTAAAAATGAGAATATTTCAAATCGTAGTTAAATAAAAAAAATATTCTAATCTGAACACCCCCAAAAAAACTTAAAATTTTTAAAAAAAAAAATGCCGTAAAATTTTTTTGCCGTTAACAATAAAAAAAAAAAATCCAGGCGACATGCATTCAACGGATGTCAGTTTTCATTGAAAAATACATCCCTACCCCTTACCAAAATGTAGCTAATAACTGATACAATGATACAGACATAAGGAAAACCCAGACACCCCTTGTCCAGTTGAAGTAGATTTATCTGTAACCATGGAAACGTGATTTTATCTGTGTCTTTAAAACCCAGTAATTTTAAAAGTTACTCCAAAATTCGCTTGAGGATGAAATGGAACTAATGGCTTTAATTTAATTGAAAAATTAAATTCGTGGCTTTTAGCTTCCATTTTTGAAACATGGTTAGACCTGTGTAGCGAAAAAAATCATATTTTAAATCAATTAATTTCTAATATATATATATGTGTGTGTGTGTGTGTGTGTGTGTGTGTGTGTGTGTGTGTGTGTGTGTGTGAATTTTTTATCAGTATCACCCCAAACAAGTCAGTACAGCCACTAGCATGCAAGGGGTTAGAGGATGTGGAGGAATCAGGAGCAGAAACATTAGTAATGAGGAGAAAGAAAAGAGGACAGTACAGGAGGACAATAAATAGCGATTCACACTGCACTTAAATTTTTGCAGATTAAAGTTGGTTGGAAAGCATGGAGCTAGGAGGGAGTTCCACAAGCGAGAAGTGTGGGATAAGAAACTGTTTCAGCATAGAACTTACGGCTACATCTAACCAGCTCAACTCTAAATTGCTGAGATCTCGTCGCCTATCTCTCTCCCTCCCTTTCTCAGCTTGTTATTACGTAATAGGAGGATGAAAAATATTGACTGATCGTAACAAAACATCAAGGGCAGATAACCTAAGTAACAATTGAGGCGCACACGTGGTGTAAATACTTTAGACGAGTTTACAATTTACGACATTTAAAACACCTAGAAAAGAGAAACGACCTGTTATTATATTGGTTGGAGATAATCATTTTCCAGAGATTTCACTTTCTCCATTATAAAACTTCCTGTTTTCGTAAGTATATGTAATCCTTTAAGCCTTAAGGATGATACTTCCTTTTTGCATCATCAGTTTTATTGTCCTCTAGTAATTTTTTTTCTTCTCTCTCCAGAGTTGAACGAAACAATATAAACATGGCTTACTTTTTACATCGCAATCTACAAAAACATCAGCGTATTTATTTTTTTGTTCTTTAGAGGAAACACACTACAGACATAGTTCCTCTCCGCGTTTCTTTTCATTGTTATGATTCAGGCTGCCATATAGCAAGCCTTGAAGGAAATAATCGAAAAAGTATTCTGGGGGTGAAAAAGTGTAAGTAAAAAATAGTTTTTTCAAAAAAGGTTAATTGACAGAGTATGTGAGAAAAATTGCATTTGGTATGAGTTTTGTTTATTTTGTGCTTCTTACCATGTAAAAAATAAATGAATTTTCCTTAGCATTCGCACATTAAGACCTTTGCTTGTATCTTACTTTCTTTTGTCTTCGTTAAAGATCTGAATAACAAATGAGCAAAAGATGCTATCTTCGAATTTTTACAACTACAGCCCAATAGTTATTTTCTGCAGATGCACCAAAAATGTCATTATTTTCCTGTTTAAAAAGTAATCAAAATCATTACTAGTCTGGATAAAAACAGTTGAGTAATAAACTCAACAAATGCAACTCATTATTTTTTGTTTGTTTGTTTCATGTCATGACGAAGAATTCGTTACAATGAAATGAATGCAGAAAATAATCATTTCGCCAATTTTGATGCACATAAACATTACATTTGGTAAAAATCAAAATCAATTTTTAAATAAGGTTTTCCCTCTTCGTAATAAAAAGGAATTTACTTTTTTACTACAAAAAGTTTAAAAAATAAATGATTTTAAACTAGAGAGAGATATCAATTTTTAAATCAATGAGTGGACATGAAAAATGTGCACATATTGTAATCAATTAATAATACATTTACATTCTCTTAAAGTTTGTAAATTTTATTTTTACGAAAAATGTTCAAACTATATTTGAACGTTTTTTTGGTAAATAAAAAAAAGGTTAGAGAAAGTTTGTGGCTGTACTGTACATAACTAGGGGTCATAAAAACTAAAAAGTTATATTTTGTTGAAAAATATACTGACTTCGTTGTTTTATTACTTGAAACTGATTTTTAATAATTAAATGTTCAGTTGAGGGAACTATAGATTTTATTTATTTTCAGTGAGGAACCAACAATCATTTCTTTTGGTTTTCCCAAACCTCTTTTGGATCTTTCTTTGTTATTGTTTTGAATAGCACCAGAGGCGTTGGGATTATTATTTACATTCACATCAAAACACAAAAAATAAATATTTTAAATTCATTGATGGAAGCGCAAGTTGAAATTGTTTTAATTTTGAGAAGCCCAGTGGATTGATTTACCCTCTCTATTAAATTGACAATTGTAATTGATTTATTTTTCAAACTACTTTTTTTTTAGTGAAAAAGACTATTTTTCTGCTTTGAAGCAATGAAACAAATTGTCGATAATTAATAGCTGGTTGCCCGGTTTAATCAAATTGAGAGAAATAATTTGTTCTCTATTATATTTTCCTTCTTTTCTGATAAATGAAGTCAAATGTTTTTTGTTTTTTTTAAATGTACTGTTCATTTTAATGTCTACTCAATGAAAGCTCCTTGTCACGATAATTTAATAAAGAAGACCATTAAAAAGTTGATTATAATAATAAGTAAGACAGACTTAATTTTTAAAAAAATATTAAAAATAAAACAAATCAATAATTAAAACTGGAGGAAATCTTGTCGATTTCGTAGTTGAGCGTTCCAAATTGACTAGTCACTTAACTTAACACGTTTGTTGTCAATACGAGTTGTGTGGGCACTCAGCAGTTACAAAACAAAAAATAAATACTAATCAAACTTGATTTAAATCTAAACATATTTTCTAAATAAAATTCAAATTAAATTTTATTTACTTATTTTTCGGAACAAGTGGGGTAAGATATGGATATACGTAATTTGAATGCTCTTGGTGGAAAAATGAGGTATCTTGTTCAAACAAGACTTTTAGTTTTAAATAGGATCCTCTACGGCATTTAAAAAAAAGAGCATAGTCTGATGAAAAAGACGCCAAAATTTATGAAAACAAAATTTTATCGTCAAAATGCTTATGTTTTTATGAAGAGGATAGACCAAATTTTTTTTTTAATTATTTTTCAAAATTTTTCCATCTTTTTAAATTTTGATTTAAAAAACCTTGTTTCTCTTTTTTGCAATATGGAGTAGTAAATAACATAGATAATTTTTAGCGCGTTTTTTTTGTATTATACCTATTAATTTGGAAAATCTTGCAAAAATAAAAATAATTGTCAGATGTTAATGAAACTTTCAGAAAATATTCACAGATGATCGAAATTATTATGAATATTTTTTTTTATTAAAGTCATGGCAGAAATTTTTTTTTTTATATTTATTAACACCATATATCTAATTTTATGAAAAACTCTAAAAAATCCATACCATCGGTTTTAGTGATTACAATATTTAAAGCACAAGGCTTTGAAGAATGTAAATCATTTTTTTTTTTTTTTTAATTGACCCAGTACCTGAAAAAATCAGCTCTGAATTGTAACATACAAAAAAAAGACTCAAAAAAAACAAATATAGTATTTAATCTCAAACGCTTTTATTTGTTTTTATTCGTTCGTATGAATATGGACAATATTTTCTGAAAGCAAAATTTTTTTCAATGAAAATTGAATTTTTAATACAATTATTTCTCTTTTCTTTAATTTTAAATCGAAATTTTAAAACTTTTCATTAAATTTTTGAAAAACTTATAAAAATAATTAACAGCACCATCCACCCTTGTACCTTGTACTTCTCTTTCTTAGCTCGTCATTGTCTAGGGATTTGAAAATTGTATAATTTGGACCAATCAGATGATACCCAGTAATAAAGAAATGTAATTAAGTTTTGATAAAAAGCGCTTAAATAGTTTGTCATTAAAAAGTACGGAAGGCCACAAGCTATAAAACGTCACGTGGCTTGAGTGTAAGCGTAGATTTCATTATTTATAGTATTTATTATCTCTATAGATAGTATCAACAAAGTTATGTTTTAAGTTCCTGTAATAATAAAATAACAAAATAAAGGAAATTGGAATGCTAATTTTTTGTTTTTTTTATTATCTACTAAACACGGGGTAGTACATAAGCTGATTCACGTAAAAAAAACAAAAAACGTTACGTCACGTATGACCATCCGTATGATAACGCGAATCTCACGTTAGCTGTCGATATGTGATGACAGGCATCACTCAGCACTTGAAAATTGACAACGCAGTTCAGATCGCTTACTTTTTATTTCGAAAAAAGTAAGTAAAAGCTTCTTTCAAAATATTTTAAATAATCTTTAAATTTGCTAATTTTAGTCAAATAAATTTTGAAAAACGTAGAATTGATTTTTGGAATAATTATAAACGAGGATTTTAACTTGTTTGTTTAAGTTTACAAAATTAGAAAAAAAATGGCTGATAGCTACTTTTTTTAAGTAATTTTGTTGACAGAAATAAACAACATTTTTAAATAAAATTTCGGACCTGATAAGAATGAGTAAAAAAATTTTAAAAATAATCAAAAAATACTTTGGTGTTTCTTCTTAAGAATGATATATATATTTAAGCCGATAAAAATTTATTACATCGTTTTTTTTCATGCTATATGTTTTTTGTAGCAATTTCGTGGAGGTACCTATTTTTTTTTTCTCTAGTTCGTGGCTGTCGTAAAAAAAATAAAGATTTTTAACCAAAATTTCGAACGTGCTAGAAAGGAGTAAAAAATTTAAAAAAACATACTTTGGTCTTTCCTTTTAATATGATCTTATTTTTATATTACTCTTACTTATGACATTTTTTTTTCCATATATGAAATATCAAAATTAATAATAAAATGAATTTTGATGATAAAACTTTATTATTGAGTTTGGGGACTTTTATCATCATGCTAAATGCTGTTTTTTACGCGATCTAATGGAGGTACCTAAAAGAAATAGTATAACTATGATTGTAAAACGGAAATAGTAAGATGCTAATTTTTTGTTTGTTAAGATTTTTGCTTTCTTTGTTCTTCTGTACCGCCACTTTTTCGCGGGAAAACAGCATAGCGTAATGAAAAAGACCACAAACTTAACGAAAATAAAGTTTTATCGTCAAAATGTTTGTTAAGATGAAAGACCAAAGTATTTTTTTAATCATTTTTTGAAATTTTTTAATCCTTTCTAACACGTTCGAAATTTTGGTTAAAGTCTTTTGTTTACGTTATTGCAGGGGGGGGGGGGCATTGAAAATACATTGATTTTGAAATTCTTGTAAAAATAAAGTAATTGTCCGATTTTAATAAATTTTTCAGGACTTATTTACAAATGAATGAAATTATTTTTGAATACTTTGTTTTTTGTTTTTTTTTAGAAGATTTTGGTAAAAAAATTTTTTTTTTTAAATAACACTTAATTTCATGAAATTTCGCACAAAACCTTTCTATTTCCTGAATTTTTTATTTTTTTTTAAATATAACACTTACTTAATTTCATGAAATTTTGCACAAAACTTTCTATTTCATGAATTTGGTGGGGGGGGTTAAAAAAAAAAGTAGAGTCTTTGGAGATTAAAATCACCTACTTTTTTTTTCAAATTTGAGCTATCTAACATTCTAACTGAAAATATGCTCTGAATTGAAAAATAATGAATCCAATAAAACTGACATTAGTTAATTAGAAAAAAAATTGATTTTGTAAATAACTAATATTAAGGACATTGTCTGAAGAAATAAAATTTTTCTGATGAATAATGAATTTTTACAAGAATTTTTTTCATTTTTTTTAAAATTTTAATTATAATAATAATTATAATTTATAATAGTTTAAATCGTGTAAAATTCTGTATTGGGTTATTTCCTGGATGTGATATAGTAATTTAGTGGAAACGAAATTTACGAATCCATAATTGCAAAGATGAATGAACGTAGTTGCGCTATTTTATTTTTAAAATAATTTTTTTTTATTTTGTATTTTTTTACTTAATACGTTATTTCCATGTATGGTAGACTGAAATTTCCATTATTATAAAAGTTCACGTGATCTAAGAGTTTTGTCCCTTTATTCTAATAAATAAACATTACAGTAAAACTAAAAAAAAAAGAAAAAAGCGTTCACTCAGAATTCTAAAAAGTGTTATTTATGGTCATCCGTAGTAACTCATCGCTTCGTCAATCCATCAAACGTTTGATCAGATGAACAGGACTAATCGTTAATTGGTTGTATATATTACTTTTTTATGCTATAAGTAAGTAATATTTCTTTCAAATCAGATTAATTTAACTTTAAATTTTCTAATTTTACTAAAATAACGTGTCAGAAATTTTTTTAAATATTTTTAAAATCGATAAATATTTGTTTGTTTACAAATTTCTTAAAATGGCCGTTTTTAAGAAAATTTAAGAAATAAAATTAAATTTGACATTCCAATGTATATAGTTTCTATCTGAAATACACGAGAATTGTTTACTTAATGGAAATAATAAATTTAATTATTAAACTTTCAATTAAAGCTAAAATGAAATCTTCAAGAATGTTTTTTCATTTTAAAAAATTCATTTTAAACTTAGGTCTCGAAAATTTATGCCGAAAAAGGGGAGGTCCCTAATTACCAAAGTGTCATCTGTAGTCAGTATTTTGAAGTGAGAAAACAAGATCATTCATGCCTATTGTTGTGACCTTTATCAAATATTTTGATTTACAGACTGTAAGAAACGATATTGATTAATTATTATTCATCATTTTTCTTTGTTTACACCTTATTCAGGAAAAATGTTACTTTGGTTGGTACAATTTAAAAAATTAATCCACCCCTTCAGTAATAACAAGTAACTTAAGTTTAAGTACTTTATAAATTTTTCTCTCTTTCTCATGTCAAGTCTTAATAAATGTTAAAACCTGCAAATTTATTTTAGGAATCTGTATGTATTAAAAAGCAAAATTGCTAAACTTAAAGATAGGGTGAATAAAATGAATGACTAGCTGTGTGCTAAAAACTGAGAATTACTGCAGGCTCACCAAACACAAATCTCTAACTCAAATTGTGCCATGAACACACTTGCCACTCCAGAGGGTCCACAAGTCAACTAAGCAACTATCTTTTTATTTGGCTTAAATACCTTCCTTCATCCTCGAGAGTCCAACAGACACCACCAAATATTTGTCAGCTATTTCCACCGCTTGTCATAATAGATACACCTCAATCACAGCTGTTTTTCTTGCTCCCTAGTCTCCTGATTGGTGGCGGTCTTTTTAGCCGGATACTTCTCCGAGGCAAAGACAGGAGAAACTCTAGCTTCCTGAGGGGTTCCCAAGAGGTCATAGTCATCATCCACTAAAGGCAGGCAGATTTCATCTTAAATTAATGATGACATTGTTGTCTCATCATATATTGACTCACTCAAAGAAGGGAGCAGAGATTTTTCACATGGTATGACACCCTGTCAATGAAAACCACCTAAGACTCTGGTAACGTTACCTTCTTTATACCTCTTTATACACCTGTTTGGTGAAATTCTTATTAGCACAGTAGTGTCTCCTTTTATGCTTGGGTTTGGATTTTGGTGCGGTTGTTTTGTCATTTGTCTTTATTTGAACCTCATATGCATAAAGTACATTATCAAGAGCAGTTGTGCTGTGGATGTTGTCCTTGGATGTTTTGTTATTATACTAGTATAACGGTTCCTGTACAGAACACTACTTCCTAGCAGCATTTCGTTTTTACATGTCTGTGGGATTGGTGTATATATGCATGGAAAGTGAACTCTCTATTCATCAGCAAAATATCTGAAAGTCTTACTGGTGAACGCCCTGTTGGCGGGGCTTCAGAATACTTCGACTGCATCTCTGCAGAGGGTAAGAGTCCCTCAATGGGACCCACCTGTTGGCCATGGTTCTGCACTTCATACAAGTTTTAATTATACCATGAACTCACCTCAGAGGACCCACAAGCCAACTGAGTGACTACTTTTTGTCAGATACCATTCAAACACCCTCATTTCTCTTCAGGTATACTCTGGTGAATATTTGTCAGCTATATCTCGCACCTGCCACAATAAATATGCATGATTGTGGTCATTCTTCATTGATACAAGTATAAACACTGGTATTGCTCAAGAAAAAAAAAAAGATTTACATTATTTACTATGAATACATCCACCTTTTTATTTCCCCTAGTTAGGATAGTTACCTTGATGACATGTGAGAGAAACTGCTTGGCAGCAAGGCAAGTTTCATTACACAACTTTGACAGGTGAAGATTTCTGAGAAGCATGATGGGCATCCCAACCTTTAGCTCAAGAGCATCCCAACTAGACATCTCAAAAGAGTTGAGAAATTCAGTTGGGTTATGAACAGCCTCTGAAATATATGGCACTGTGTGAAATTATAAAAGCCATTTACTAACTCTGTGTCCAATGACTTTATCTGCTCTAACCACTTGTGTGATCAAAAGCATTTTTGTACTTTATAGCAAATGCAATATATCACTCCATTTTGCTATAAATTGTTTTAGTTGGTCATAAATCTTAAATCACTTTCAAGGTCAGCCTCACATAGCTCATGTCACAACAGAATGAATTATGAGCCTTCTTGCCAAATATAAGGTCAATAGATCATGTGATTTGAACATGATCATAGCATGGAGGCGCATTCTTTTTCTTCTTTTACTACTACTACTAACAGCAACAATAATAATAAAACATTATCCTTGGTGTGTACCTTTGCAACACAAAGCCTCACATCAGTGCTTTCATTTTTCTCAAATTTTTATTTTATTTTATTGAATAACATAATCTAAAATGTTAATCTTCAAAAGACTCTTTAAACTGTCAGACTTTTTTTTTTCTTCTTTTACTTTTAAAAACATTGTGTAAACATTTTCAGTGCATGTTATTTTGCTTAAGTCTTAATGTTATTCTTTTATCTTTTGTTTTTGGTTCATCTAAATATAAATGAAAATTTTAAAAAAAATTTAGTTGCATTTAAATTAAGTGTTCCTATATTTAAGATAAGTGCTATAAATAATATATAATTGTTCAAAAATTATTTATGTTAAAATTCTCAGTTTCCACATCCATCTGAAAATGCCATGATAGTTTTATAATTGCACAAGAAGGTAAAATTGTAGGTGATCAGCCCCTTTATCTCAAATTGAATATTTACTCAGAAATAAGACTTGACTATCTAACACCAGGATGAGCAAACAAGATGCAAGCATTCATTTACCTTAATGATTATATAATGACACAGCAAATTATGGTAGTAGGCAGGATAAAAGAAAAAAATGATCACAGGTATATTTTACCACTAAATGCATTTGAGTCTGGTATACATAGACATTTTTTTATCACTCTGCTGCCTAATTTTAGTAATTTTCTGTCAGTAATGTCATCTCTTCTTGTTAACGAATGAGATTTGTTTTTATCCAGTTCAGTGAAAAAGGTTGATAAGTGGCACAAAAGCAGACTGTAAAGTATTAACTGATACAAGATGTCACCAAAGCATGGAAAGTAGAATGAGAACAATGGATTGAATAAAGGGTTTAGTTCAAGTGTCTGACATACTCAGTACAAAGATAGATACCTGAAGAAGGCTGGAAGGTACAATGGCAGAAATGGTATGAGTATAGCAACCAAGATGGAATAGAAAAAGCATATAACAAAAATCAATGTTGTTTTTTTTAATGGTGGTGGAAAGAAGAACCAGATGTTTAAAAAAATAATTTGTAAGTGATACACTTTGCAAACATTGTTCATGTAAGCTTAGTGAAATAACACATAAACTCACCATTTTAGATGAAATCATCTTTTTTCAATTTCTTTATAGAGAAATGAAAATTAAAGATTTGTTAAAATATTTTATTTGTAAAGGTTATGACACAGTTTTACTTACAATTATTTTTCTTTAATTAAAATGTAATCACCAATCTTAGACGAGAAAATGGTCCATTGCATTGTACTTTTCTCATTAATAAAATATTCTGTGAAGTACTCATGAGAGACATATAAATTGTATTCACTTGATCAGTGTTAAATAGGTTGTTGATTGAATAATAGCATTTTATTTCATTCTACATATTCTCATTAGAGCAACTTATCAATGTCATGAGTTTTGTATCCAGAATATTCATGTTATTGCTACTATTGGGATTAGGTGACTATAAATAAATCTCTACTGTTGATGTTTATATTTTTCCCTTTATTAAAGTTGTTGGAAAGTATGTATGCATATATATGTATATGTATATATATATATATATATATATATTTGGTGGCGTATCAAAAATTATCTGCACACAGTACATACTTTTTACTTTTATTTCTTTTTCTGATGATCCAGCAAGATGTGTGACCAGAGTCCATATTCAATAGAGGAACGACTTCTTGCTTCAGTATGGATGCATGATCGGGTCAGAGACAAAAAGAAGATTCCAGAAGTCCGAAAGATGTTTCAACAACGCTTTGACAAACAGGCTCCAACTGCCCGAATTTTGCGTGAATGGGAGAAAAAGGTGTTTGAAACAGGCAGTGTTCTTGACGCCCCTCGTTGTGGACGACCTGCAACACGAATGACGCATATTGCTGCTGTACGAGAGTCTATTTTACGATCACCACAAAAGTCATTCCGTAAGCGATCAGCAGAGTTACAAATTCCACACACAACATTGCAAAAAGTAATGAAAGTAGATCTGCAGATACATCAGCATCAATTGCAACAGCTGCCACAGCTTGAACAACATATGCCACAATTACAAGTTGTGCAAGAAGTGACAGTCTCTGACCAAGAAGCAGAAGAAAAAAAAGTTGAGGTTTGTGCCCATTCTTGTTTATTGAAAAAGACATTAATTTGTCCAAATCACCAATCATAAGATACATTACCATCTTGTTTAAATCTCATAAGATGCATCCAATAAAACATGCAATGGTTTCCAAACTTTCTCAAATAACATGGCCACAAGGGCATATAATGAGTTTTCTGGTGCTCTGAGTCAGAAAGTACTGAACAAATGCATTTAATGTGGTTAACTGATTAAAATAACATACTTGCTTAAGTAAAAAAAGCAAAAAAAATTATGCAAAATATTTTTCTCTGTCATTCATTTGAACTGCTTTAACTTAATCTAAACTTTGTTTCTTCTGAAAAGGTTTGTTTTTAGAAAAAGTAATTTTTATAAGGGAAGTATTTTTAAAGTGGGTAATTGATTTAAAATGCATATAATGTAAAACTTGATCCTTACTTTGTGTCTGTTTTTAAAATAACATTGGAAACCAGCACAATGGTATCAAAACTTTCATTCACAATAAACACCAGTCTCTCTTTATTGTTAGACTTTTACTTCAACATTCATCAAAAATGTCAAAATAAATCTCCCCATCCCTTGGTGATTTATCATCACTTCCATAATGCTTATTAATTTCTAATAAAATATTTTTCATCTACAATGGACTACAACTTAAAATAATCTGAAACTTTTTGATTTATTAACTTCCTTGAAACCTATTTATTTAGACACTTGATCTCAGGTTCAATGAGGCCTTGCTGAATCTGTAGTTAACTCAACTACAGATTCAACAATCAATACACAGCTTAGAACAATAGAGAACATTAATGTTGTCAAGATTGCCAACTTGCGTTCAACACTGTGGAGTAATTCATAGTGTGCCACTTAGGTGTGTTGAAATTGATATTTTTCTTTTTCACTTTCCATAGAGAACAAAATCCATTTCTCTTTAACTCAACTCAACTTTACCTTCAAAAGAACTTGAAACATTGCATGGATGTATACATTGCATTCTGTTGAGCAAGCAAACAATAACAATGGAATTTTCATCAGTCATTGCATAGTTAGAGAACTGCAGTAGCTGAAATTCCCAAAGGTAATCAAATTTATAGAGATGTATTAGCAACCAGACATTAGGCAATGTATTAAAATTTTCAAATATCTCAAAGTGCCCCAGTGTATACTTTGAAAAGCTCAAAATTAATGAATATACATTTTTGGCCCAAAGATCAGTCCATCACTTGCATTTCTTTTCTATTTTTCTCCCTCTATAAAGTTTGCCGTGACTGACATTTTTTTTAGTTTTCATTACATTGCTTATTGCTCAATTGATTTGAACTTACAAATGATTTAACTGTGGGTATTTTTTTTTCCAATTATTAAGACCTCTTTTTTTTCTTTTGATCATCCAACTGACTTTTTTCTTTTTCATTCTCTTTAACATTTTAACTATTATTTTCCTTTCAGACAAAAGAATCTCTGCAATATCTCAATATTCTAAGTCATGATGTCTCCCTTTACTCTCTACCAGTATCTGTTAGTACCTAATATAAACAGATAAACATTCACCAGACTGATTTTGCTTGCATCTCCAACAGTAATTGGCAGTTCTTTGAGAAAATGGATGGCATGAATATCTTCCCTCTTCAATAAAAAGATCCAAGCTTTCAAAGGAACAATCTCTTCACACCTTTTTTCATATATTTAAGCTTCACAAATGATTGTGGCATTTTGTTGAATTGACCAGTTTTGTCAACAATAAAGATGAGAAATGAAAAAAAAAAAACAGCCAAAAACAATTCTGTTATACAGAAAACTTGTTCATGTAATGCTAAACCTTGTCATAAGCAATCAGCATCACAATTAAAGATTTTTCATATTTCAGTTATTAATTGTAATTTTATCAAGTGACTTTCTTTTCTAATTATTTTTTTCTCTTTTTCAATACATAGAATAATTTTAAGTTATTGATTTGTCCTGGTAACAATGATATCATCAGAACAGTTTTCTATTTACCTCATGTTGCTTCTTTTTAAAAACAATTTTATTTTTAACTTTTTTTGTTTTGTTTTTATTCTTCATATAAATTTTTATACTTATTTGCTTCAGACACACTTGAACTTCCATGTAAATTCAGGTTAAATTTAAATTTATATCTCCAAATAATAAAGAATGAAGAAATCTAGTGAGTAGCAAATCAAAGTTACAACATGGTGCAGAGTTGACTTATGTTTATTACTTAGGTTGAATTTGAATCAATTTACAACCCTTTCCAGCTTTGATATCATTTAAATGTATTTAGATATATTTATCTAAGAAAAGATGAAGCTTCCAGTTTACCTTAAATAGAGAGCAACCTCCATTTTAATGTAAATACAGTCAACAATTATAGGTAAGAGGTCTCAAACAAAAACAATGTAGAATTTGCAACAGCACTGCCACATTTAAAATTTAAATTAGACATTTATACACAATGAAGTGAAAATTTTAAATTATGCTTTCCCAGCAAGGAGTTTAACAGTCTTGCACATAAAAGGTAGAAAGCACCCCTGTAGGCTTAATCAATATTTCAAATTTGTTAATAAACAAATCACATTTCATGAAATTTGCATATAGTATTAAAGGGTCAAAGAATATATCGTGAAATTTTCAGATGTTGATAAAATTAAATTTTATCAACATTTATACCATTGTAAGAGAGAAAGATTGAACAAAAATATGTTAAAACATTTAATTGACTAGTTTTAGAAAATAAATGTAAAATCTATTCGTTTACAAAAGAAATGAAGAAAAAAGGAAATACGACAGATATGACACTTGGAAAATGTTTTCAAACAGAAAAAATGAAAAATACAACATGATGCCTGAAATCTATTTGTTTCAGTTTTCAAAAAAAAACTTTTTGTAGTAAAATTAAGTTAAAAACAAAATAGCAAGTAAAAATAAAAAAATAGTTGCCAGTTTCATCTTAATGTTAGTTAAATTTTATGAAGTCAGATTTTTTTTGTAAGGGTAATAATTGTTTTCTAGTAAGCCAGTACGCCAATCACAAAGTTATAAACAAGAAAAATGAATGAAGATTTTTTTTTTTGTTTTTTTTATGAATAAATTTGTTTTTTTTATCTAGGGAATGCACCTAAATTAGATATTAAGAATAATAAAAATAGTTCTTAATTTTGCTTTTCACATATCTGAAAATATACACATTTTAAAAGTGAAATTAAGAACTATTTTAATTATTAATATCTAATTTAGGTGCATTCCCTAGATAAAATACAAATTTATTTATAAAAAAGATCTTCATTCATTCTTTTCTACAAATAAAATTGTTTCTATCTAGCGAATACACCTAAAATTAGATATTAAAAATATAAAGTAAGTTTTAATCTCGGTTTTAAAATGTGTATATTTTCAAAATTGCAAGTCATGCTTTTTAAACCCAAAGTAAAAATTATTCTTTTTTAGTCACTAGTGTTCAGTGGGTGTTTGTTATTGCTCTGCCTATAAAATTCTTCTAAACAAGGAAAATTAATTCATTTTTATTTGTACAAATATTTTTATGGTTTTATCTAGCGAATGTACTTAAGATTATATTAAAATGATTAAAATAGTTTTTAGTTTCAGTTTTAAAATGTGTATTTAAAAAAGAACAGGTGATACTTGCAGATTTGAAAATCTACAAATTCTAAAAATCAAATTAAAAGCTTTTATTTTTAAGGTGTATTCACTAGATAAAAAGAAATTTATTTGTGGGGGGGAATAACTCCTTGATTTTCCTTGTTTAGAAGAAATTTATTTGCAAAACCCCAATAACATTTGACTGGCATACCAGAAAAGAATTACCATATTTTTAATTATTTTAAACATGAGGGGTTTCATTTTTTGGCTTTTTAAAAGCCACATTAACTAATTTCTGGAGAGCTATACCATTTTCTCATTCAAAAATGCATTGTCCAAAGACAAATATAGATATTTTATGCAACGATTTCTTTCATATTTTACCAGTTTATTAATAAATTTGGTAGTTATTTGTAGTTGACAATTTATTCAAAAGTTTAATAAATTTTTAATCTAAGTCATGAATTCTATGACTAAATTACCTTTAAAGCCTAAAAACTGACTTTATTACCCATCCCAGTTCGCAGTTTTGGGGTTTTCAATTCCAGTGGTCTTTAATGCATGTCTATAAATTTTTATTACCCTTGCTTAAAGCCAAAAACTATTGACCCCTTATGCACCAGTTAACAGACTTCCACAATGACAGACATTTTAAAAAAAAAACAACACTCGAAAACCAAAAAGTATATGGGGCATTTATTTTTCACAAGACATTAGTTCAAATAATTTGAAAGTTCTTTTACCACACATTCACTTCCATGGGTCAGAGAAGAAATGAACATCTTCCTGGTTGTAGTTTAAGGTGTCTTCTAATTGAGTGTACAATCTGTATACAATTTCAAGAATATTGATAAAGATTGGTCACTTTGATTTTGCGAAACAAAGTAACATTTAGAAATTTAGTCTCGAAAAAATCATATTTCGCATTTTCAGCTGTTCATAGCTAAAAACCATTTTAACTTGCTGTAAAAAAAAAATAATTCAATGAATAAAAGAACATACAAATTACTTATTTAGAAAGATTATTTTTTCTTTCCAGCCATATGAATATTTTGAAGATTGGGCCAGAAATACACAAAAATTTGCAAGTTGAACAGACTAAGTTGCAAATTTATCAATCTCAAACGAAATCAGATATCTACTGGAAATGCTATCATTACACAAGAAAATGAATGGCTTCCTTAGAAAGCAAAAATACTAAATTAAAAACCAAGTCAAAAACTGCAGTATCGAGGGTGGGAAAAATGGGAACCAATACCAAAACAAATTGCTATACTGACCAACTCTAATATTTACAAATATTTTTAGTAGTTTTAATTCCTTAACTTTTTTTAAATTTATGTTTGTAATTTAAACTGCAGGATTTCAAAATTTAATAGCTGCTCCAAATATCATCTTTTAGTTTTATTACATATTGTTTATTATCATTATTATTATTAAAGTGGTTTTCAGCATGAAGTATTTTCATTTTTACATTTTTTTTTTTTTTTTTTTTTTTTTACCCAGTTACTTTTCATCACATCAGACACTGAATGAATTTGCTAAAAGATGTTATGATAATCAAATCAGTTGCTAGGTCTGCTGATAGGAAGCTTGATTCATTATATTGTGCTAGACAATTTTTCTCACCAGTTTCTTGTTTTCTAGTCAAGTTTGACCTTTGAACATTTAAATCATTATCTTTTGTCCTCTTAAATTCTGTTCTTTTATTGTTCTTGTTCTTTAATGTTTCTCCTGTATTCTTTAACACTCAGTAACCCCCTGCATGTTAGTGACTCTGTTGTCTTGCTTTTTTTTTTTTTTTTTTTTTTTTTTTTGCATAGTGAACAAAGAAAAAGGTAAAAACAATCAAGCTAATCAGATTGACCTATTTACGTCACATAAACCATTATGAATTTTTTGCAATGCATTGGTACATTTTTGATAAAATTCAGACATCTTTATAAAAACATTGAATAAATTCAGGCTATTAAATACTGCTTAATACATTTTTTAATGTTTGAAATCTACATACCAAAAAGTAATAATTTGTAAAGAATATTTTATTCAAATATGACAGGACATGATTTCAATCATTTTGCTTACTATTTTAAATTATCAATTGCCAAACTATTTGACAAAATTTAGTTGGTCTTGTTACAGGTGATTCATACAAAAACAATAAATATAATTTCCAAACTACTTGCAAAAGAATTATAAAAATGTATTCAGTATTAAAAATAATTTTGTTCCTAGAAGAGATAAAACACTAAATACATAGATTATTTTCTTTTAACTTGAATAAAGATATGTTATGAATTATACACAATATATAGTTTTTTGTTTTAGTATTTTGGCATATTTCAAAAACAAGATAGTGACATATCACTTAGGTCAAGCTGTGAAATTATAAATCAGTTTGGCTTTAACAAAAGTTGTGTAATTTGTTTGTACTTTCAAGTTTGTTAGAATCCACATCACAAGCAAATCATCTTTTCCATTGTAAAAGTTGCAAAGACTAAAACTCCTCTTTATACCTAGTATGTTTAATACTGTGTCCTGCTTACTGATAAATTAGTAAAGTTATATTTTTGATGAAAGAAATACAAACAGCAGAACTGTGAATACAAAAACATAAAAGTAAATATAAGAACATAAAGTTCAAATAAATATTTCAATTAAAGCTAATAAAAAAAAACATTGACAATGTTTATGAAAATAACATAGCAACATTGTAATGAGAGAATGATTATAATTTTATATACTGGGAGTTTATGTGACAAAAAGATATTATGTATTAGTGATGACTAGACAAATTAACCTAAAAGGAAATGATGGTTAGGACAGCAACAAAATAATTTGCTAACATCTCTTGCCTGGATACTTTCTTATAATCTCTTATCTTGAATTAGTTTTCAAGTTTAAATGTTTTGCTACAAAATGTAAAATTT